TTTTAAATATTATAAAATAATAATTTAATAGTAAAAATTTTAAATAATAAATTTTAGTATCGTCTTAATAATTAATTCAACTTAATATTTAAAAATAGAACAATTTATTATTGGTTGAAAATGTTTATTGTGGCGTAGCATTTTTTTAATCATTATTTACTTAAAATCAATTTCTTATCCCGTAAGGTGATTTTAATAGCTTAGCCCTATGTATAGATAATATGTTTTAAGGTAGATAATCAACCTTTTTTGGATCAGCTATTAACATAAGCTTTTCTTGCACAAATCCGCAAAATAGTTTATATTCCTCATCAAGATAATATAAAACTGGCTCATTCTTTATAACAATAACTTTTCAGATTTTATGAAGATTTAGGCTAAATGTAAGGTTAGTTGTATGCTTCTGATTCTTCATTCCACCCTTCCATTCTGCATTAACAAGAATATAGCAGACTATATCTCTTTTCTTTAATTTTATTTTATATTTTTTAACCAGATACTTATATTTTGTAGATAGTCTAAATTTTACTTGTTCTAATGTAATGACTTTTACTGGCTTGAGTTTCTACTTTTTTGATTCTGATTCTCAAATAAGACATGTGAGATAATTATTTAAGTAATCAATAACTACTAGTATATATCTAACCCATGCTTTTATTAATTGAGAATCAGAAGATATCAATTTAATAGCATACTGTATCTTATATAGAATTTTTGAGAGTGTCTAATTGAAATGCTCTATGAAAACAAGTCTCTATAACTATATGAACTAATCACCCAAATTGTAACATTATACTCTTGCATTAGACAGGAAATCTTACCTATAAATTCACGACCTCTGTCACATTGTAGAAACTTTGACCAGATCAATGGATTATATTGAATATCATATACCTTTCTAAATACTTTAGTAATTTCTAAGCTATTCTTTAATGTGAGTAAAACAGAAGCCTTATATCAGGAAGCGTAGTTTATAATGTAAGTACTGCTTTATATTTTTTACTTTTATAGTGATTATGAGTGAGAAATAATATATCACACTGGTGTACACAATTGGAATGTGTTATTTATCTATAGCTAACTCTAGAAATATATTTTGAGAAGATTTTATTAGTTTGGTATGACTTTTAATTCTCTAAAAAATCTTTGTATTTACTTAGGAGGAAATCAATGCCTTCTTTTTTACACGCATTTTTTAGAGATTTAAGATTAGAATAATATTCAGTCAGATGATAATATATTTCATGCAATATGATATTTTTTTCAATTCTCTGAGCCTTATCAGAATCTATTTGAATTGTAAGAATCCTTGCTTCTTTACTCATCTTTTTTAAGAAGATTAGATATCAGAAGAATTATACAAGCTTCATAAAAAGATATTTCAGCTAAAAAATAAGATTAGTGATCTTATCATGACCTTATTGAGTAATATATCTAGTTCTAGAGGACCCCTTCAATACCATTAATAAGAAATTCTTTATTGTATTCATCGTCCTCATCATCATTAGATCATAATCAACCTTTATCAAGCAATATAACTTTTAACTCATCAGGTATATTGGAAATACAAGACCATATGGGAGTGTTTCTAGGAAAATCAGGTTCTGAGAAATTTTTGACTAAAATTAAGAGCTTAATACATTTTAATCTAATAACATCAAAAATTAAAATGCAATAAAAATCTCAATTTCACTAAAAAATTCCCAGAATCTGATTTTACTAGCAATTAACCTATATATATAAAATAGATGAATATAAAAAATAATTATCATGCTACTATCTGAATAAACTGTTTAAAATAAGTAAGATGTACTGCTAATAATGAAATAAATTTACGCAGAGTTCAGAATTGGTTAAAAAATCTTGAAGATAATCTTTTATAAGTTGAAAGAATAATAGCTGAGTATAATAGAGAATTACAAGATATTCGAAATACTTTAGAAGACGCAGAAACCCTAAATGGAATATTATAAGAGAATCTTGCTAAAATAACAGAAAAGCCTCAATCAACTCCTCTAGTGAGAGAGTTTCTATTGAAATATTACAAGAAGAATTTGACTAATCTATTAAACATCGTCGCAATTTAAATAAGTAACTTAATGAGGATTTATCAGCTAATATTTCATCTTTAATACTACTTCTAGTAAAGCCAGAAAAAAACTTATCTCTCTAAGAAGTTTGCCGATTATTAGAGAAAGAGCATGAGAAAACTTTAAAGACTATAGACCTTGCTAATATTACAGAAAAAAGAGTTCAAAAATTGACACGAGTTATATATAATAGAAGTCCTTCTTTTCCTTCTAAAATGTCAAGTTCTCGTTTAGAATTTGATAATGAGATTTTAGATAATTTAGGGGATAATACTGATGTTTCAAAAGATTCTATGTCTGATTTTCCATCCTATAATGAAGATATAGGAGCTACTAATGATTAGCTAAAAGAAAAGAAAGCTAGATTACTTTAAAAAAATACTTACCTTATTTTTATTTCTCGATTTCAGATCTGCAAAGCTAGGACAGTATAAGATTTATAATTAATACAAAAAGAGATAATTAACAACTGAATGCTTAATTGCGTGAATGTTAAGGTAATAGGGAAATACTAGAATATAATTGAGATCAGCTTTTTGATAGATATGAGAAATGGAAAAATAAAACACAAGAAGAACGCCAAATAATATTTAATTTACAGAAAGAAATTTTAGCATTATAGAATAATTTATTAAATATATTAGGAATGGTAGAATACAGATCTTCAATATTTTATGGTTATCCTGAAAAGGATCTAGAAGATTAGCTTAGGGATATACAAAAATATATAATAGCTAGTCGAATAAATATTACATCTGATGTAAGTCAAGTTGCTAGAAGAGAAGAGACATTTGGATTAATAATATTATGTCTTGCAAGTAATGCATTAAATTTTTATTTAACTTGCATCAAAGGCAAAAATTGAAAATATAATAATCTCTTAGATAACTTAGGTGTAGCAGACTTCAATGCTGTTTAAGCAATAAGAACTGAAAATAGTAGTAATCAAATTAGTAGTTTGAATACTGCTAGAGAATTTCAAGATAAAGCAGAAATTGAAATTAGTAGAATTAGAGCAGTGATTACAACTAGTGCTGATATTATTCTGAATGGAACGTGAGATAAAGACTGGTCTATAGCTGATAGCGAACTTGTAGATAATGCATCAGTAGCACCTAATGCTAGAGATGATCTTCTTGTTATTATTATTGCTTTTGATATTAAATTTGGTCAATTTCTTCACCTGTTTAAAACTGCTTATATAATAGTTGAGCATTTAAAACAAACAGCAGTATTTAGTCAACTTATACAGGATAATTTATTAGTTGAGCAATTCTTCACTAGAATTAAAAGATTGGTAAATTAGCTGAAATGACTCCTAAATAGTAAAGAAAGCAATTTATTTATGGTCTGTCTCTGATAAATCAATATAATCTTTGAATGATAGCTAAATTTTATGATATCTAGGATAATATTACAGAAGCATTGATTGAAATGGAAAAATTTACATTATCTCAACAGAATGCATCATCTTCTTTTCTAATTTTTCTAACAGCCAATTCATATTCTGATACTAATAGATCAGAAATGACTAAAAATGAAATTGAGAGCTTGGTAAAAAATACAATGGTATCCTTAGAACCTCAACGGTCTTAACAAGTAACTTTATCACAATTCTAACCACATTTTGCAGGAACGTATAAAAATTTACGAGATGAAGATATAGGTAGATTTTTATTATAAATTACGAGAAAAATCCCAGAATTTGTTCACAAAAAAAAGCAGTTAAATTTACATTTGGCTAGAGTCATTAAAAAGATCGTAAAATCACAATATAAATGTTCTATCTATGGTAAAACTAAACATAATTCTCACAAATACTCTCGAAAGAAGAAAAGAAAAATAAGAAGTCTAAAAAGGTAAGGTTAATCTCGCTTTAGATCTAGATTTAGATTTAAATTCAGATTCTTTCTCAAACAATACCTCATCTAGTGATAGTTCTGATTCTAATTCAAGTTCTAATTCTGATTCTTCTGATTTTAAAGGTAAGTTTAATATTAATATGGTTAAAATAAAAAAAAGTGAAGTGGAAGTTTAGCTTTAAGAAATCATTCTTAAAGAAGCAGTCTAAGAAAAAATCTAAGTCACATAAATCTATTAAGCAAATTAACAAGACAGATATTGAGAAGCCTGTAGTTAACTCTGGTAAAGTTAAATAAAGTAAACAAAGTAAATAAAGCACTTTAAAGGATATAATCCATAAGATTATTCAAAGTGAACTTAAATTAATTTTTCTTGCACTTATTACTCAAGATTTTAAAGCCGATGAGTTAAAATAAATACTTCTTATTTAGAAAAAGATAAAGTTTCAGAGCAATGAAACTCCAATTACTAAAAATATATTACCAGACCTAGAGGAAGAAAAATATTTAGATGATCCAATGAAGATTGATTTTGTTCAGAAAAAGGAGCTGTAAATAAGCGTTATAATTATAGAGTGTAAAATCAAGCATTTAAAGATCCCTGTTATGACTCTTGATTCTGGAGTAGAGCCTTCTATTATAACAGAAAATATTGTTAAGCATGTGGGGTTGAAATTGATAAATTTAAAACATATGATCTCAATGGTATTACTACAGTTCTGATTGAATCTATTAGAGTTTTTCATAATTTGCAAATTACTCTTACCTCAGATATACTATCTATGAAGATTTTGTTGTTGTAAGATATCACAAGCCTACGCTAATATTTTTCAATCAACTTTTAAAAAGTACAAATGTGTAATAGATTAGAATACTAATGAGCTAAAGATCTCTCTTAATAGAAAAGATTATATCTTTCTAGTCACTATGCATAAGGTCAAGAATAAGCTCAAGGTGAATTGTGTAATCACTACTTCTGAATGTGATAATTTCTCAACTTCAAATAGAATTTGCAAGACTTGCAAGACTTAAGTGAAGATAATGATGCATTAAAAAAAATAAGTTATACTTTAATGCCTTTAACTAAGAGTATAGCAATTCGTATAAAAGAACTTGAAAAGAAGCTTTCTATTATTCTCAAGTTCAATGCGAAAATCAATGAGTTTTGTAATTATCTTCTTAGAGAATAGGCAAATTATTTTCAGGATAACGCTTCTTTTTTACATTTAAAATTTTTGTGCTTTTTTCAACTATTTTCTCATTGGATACATCTAAATTTACATTATTTGTATTCTTCTTTAAAGCCTGAATTGGCTGAGTCTGAATATTAGATAGTTTTAGTAAGGCCAACATGGACTTCAATTTCTTTCCTCTAATCCTTTTTACCTTACTGTCTAAAATAACACTTACCACTAAAGTCAAATCAATAGACTCACTAGGCTCAATCTCAGCATTGCATATTTTTTTTTCCAGTTCTGTAAAAGGGATATATTTTGGTCATGTATATTTGACTCGGTCTGTTCTATCTTATTAGTCTGGGAATTCTCATCCAAAACAGGCTAATCAGAGAAAGATAAAATAACCTCTTGCTAGAGACGTTCTTTATTTTCCCATATTTTATAAACACACTTAAGTCTGATATAGAATTTACTAGCCATTTTTTTAATGTATTAGATATCCTACCTCTAGATTCTCTAATTTTCTTTATATCAGCTTCTGATAATAAGGTTGTTTTAGCATCATAAAATATATCATGGATACAGGCTATCACTTTCTTTAGATTTTATATATTAGAAAAAAGAATATTAATACTTTTTAATATATATCAATACTTTTTAATATGTATTAATACTCTTCAATATATTTCAATGCCCACTAATGCATATTAATATATATAGTATTTATAGAAAAAATAATGTTTTTGAAATTTCGAGATCGTGTGATTTCAGAAAATTATAACATATTTTTTTTCCTACTATATAATTATGCTAATATTATATCTAATATATATATACTGAAAGATATAAAAGATAGAAGATATCAGCTGGGTAGTACATATGAGCAAGAGCTCATAAAAAATTAAGATTCGCTATTGATTTTAACTCTGAAATTATTGACTTTAATGAAAAGTTGCAAGCTGAAAATTCAGAATATTCAGAATGAAAGGAGGAATTTTAGCAAACCTATGCTGATATTGGAAATAAGATTAGCCTGTTAAATGCATCTAATGCTAAAGTTAGATACTAACTTATTTCTAAATGAAAGTTTTATTCTGAGAGTCAACGTGAACTTGAAGCCAAATATTTTACCAAAATCAAATTGCTAAATCTTCTATTAAACTATTAAAAAGAGAGCTAACTTTAACCCAGAAAGCTTCATTCTCTAATAAGATTACAATTCTTTCTCTTGAAGCTAAAGTACGTGAATTAGAAGGTAAATTAGATGACTTGAAACTAGAACAGGTGCTCCATGATTTGTATGCGGTAGGAGGACTTCTAGAAAAGCTAGTTTAAATAAATTCATCTGATTCCAAAGAGATTGATTCTCTTAGACTTGAATTGATCGAGCGAATAAAGACCTTGATTCAAAGAAACATAAAATAGAATGTATAAAAAAAGAAAAGAGTTGTCAGAAAGTATATACAAATGGAAAATAGATATTCTGTCTTCAGGACGATTAAAATTAATAGATAAAAATAGGTCTCTAGGGACTAATTAGTATTAAAGAAAGATAATGAAGTAGATCCTCCACTCCTACCTATGAATAATTTATCACAACATAGTTCTGAAGGGACTCTTTTAACTCTTAATCCTTCATCCCAAATAATTTCTGTAAGTAACGTAGAAGTTGTATTTTTACTAGTAACTGCTTCTATCATCACAAGCTTTTTGATGTCACCTATTTTAATATATTCTATACTTATCCTAGTACTTATTGCAATTATATGGGTTGTGGTTGGGAAAAAGCTATAGAATATATGGAAAAAAGTAATTGACACATTTAGACTAGTGATTTACATCTCTGGGTATATCTGAGATCAAGCTATATGATCAGAGGTCAGAAAAGATCACTTCGTGATTAGATTGAATATAGGAATTAAAGTTAGCCAATATTGTTGCATGAAAAAAAATATGCAATCATAAATAATATTATAAGTATTCTAGCAGAAGTGTGGCAATTTTAGCTAAGAGTACTTAGAAAGTTTATTATAAAGCTTTTATATATTTTTCAAGCCATATTTTTGCCTTTTTTTAGGAATAATCATTGATTTTTTTTTCTTTACATCTGAATCTTTAAGTTGCATAATTTTATGTGAAAGAGGTAGTTGAAATATATTATCTTCATTAATGAATTGAACGCACATTCCTACCATTTTCCTTAAGTAATAATTGATATCTATTTCTATGTTATGCTCTTTTGTAATATTTGTATACTCCATATAATCTCTAACTTTATGTGATACTTTCACACTTTTTTTATTA